ACGACGGCGGCGGCGGCGACGACGGCGGCGGCGGCGGCGGCGACGACGACGACGACGACGACGACCGCGCCGACGACGACGACCACGATGACGGCCACGACGACGGCCATCACCGCGACCGTGACAACAACGACGACCGCGACCACGACCACGAGCGTGACCAGAACGGCGACCACGACGACGACGACGACGACGACGACGACGACGACGACGACGACGACGAGGTCGAGGACGAGGACCAGGACGACGACGACGACGACGACGACGACCTCGGCGACCCCTGGCGGTCCCCAGGCGACGGGCGCGGCGGGGCCCCGGCGGTGGACCCGCCGCCAGCGCTGGGCTGCCAGGAGCTCCCGAGTAGGGGCTCCGCGCTGCACCGGTGGGGCGCCTGCAAGCCGTGCAGGCTCCCTTTCCGAGGCAGATGAGGGTGACATGACGGGTTGTGTCCTGGAGCCGTTCACCAGTCGATCCGCTGTCTTACGCGTGTAATCGCCAGAAGACATGATGCTGAAACAGACGATGTTGCCAGAGTTAACCCGAGCAGCGAATTGCGGCAGCTTGCGCGGTGCAGTGCAAGTCAGTGCAGAAGCAATCCGAAGCCATGCGTGGCAGCGCAACACAAAGCAATTTAAATCAGTAGTAGTCCCCATCCGTCAGCGCAGTCTAGGGCCGCGCCGAAAACCAGCAGCGCGCTGCCAGAACCTATGGCGCAACCTGTGGGCGAGGCTTTTGGCCGCGCCACAAAAATCAACGGCGAGTGGCCGCAACCCGTTGGCGCAATTCATTGGTGCATCGAAAGAATCAGCGGCGTGTGGCCGTAACCCCTTGCGCAACGCACGGACGCAATGTATGTTTGCGCCAACAGATCCGCGCCGCGCAGCCACAACCCGTTGCGCAACCCTTGGAGGCAACCTATGGTCATGTACCTCCAAACATTGGCGCTACCTGGCATCCCGTTCCTTGCGCCTGACATATAAGACCTTTTGCGCGCAACCATTTTTGGGGAAACATGCGGATCTCTTTGCGCTTGCTGGCTTGTTCTCTCTCCGAGAGCTGTGAGCTGTGCCAGCTGGTTTTCCCCATGGAGTTGTGGGAACGCGTTCCCGCATGGAAGGTTTTTTTCTTGAATGCGCCCATAACATCGTTATTTGAGAAGTTTTGGTTTGTGCCCCTTGTAGGGTCAGTGCCAAACATTAGCGTGCGTGTGCTTCTTGGCCTAAGTGCAAAGTAAAGCCGATGTGAATTTCGGTCCGCTCATAAGTTCCAGCATGCGTTTTTCAAGCAAACTGGTATATGCTTTCGTGATGTAGTATCGCCCGCGCGTGTTCTTTCTTTTTTCGCACTTTAGAGAAAATCGAATGGGTTCTTGCAGTCTCCTATTCTGCAATCCTTGGTGCTCAGTCGGACACAGTTGTTAGACGGGTGTAGGTCGATCAGGCCCCCCCCTGGATATTCCGAATTTTCATGGCGTCTTGTTGATTTCCCAACGAAGCTTTTGCATGGGCGTTTCGATATTTGCCTCAGCCGGCTTCTGGGAATGTGAACCCACCGCCGCCAGTTGTCTCATCATTTTGTGCATGTTGGGAACAAGCCCGCCGAGGAGGGTGACGAATAGAAGCAGGAGGAGGAGGAGCAGGAGAAGGAGGACGAGTTCCCAACCATCCTGTGGAGTTGGGTCCTCGTTTTGAAGAGTGAACGCCACGCGTCCTTCCTCCTTACTCTCCTCATACAATCCCTGCCTCTGCCCTCCAATCATGACCATCATCATCATCATCACCACCAACATCATCATCATCATCATCATCATCATCATCATCATCACCGTCATCATCGTCATCACCATCATCTGCATCATTGTCATCATCATCATCATCATCATCATCATCATCATCATCATCGCCATCACCATCAGCATCAACATCATCATCGTCGTCGTCATCATCACCATCATCACCATCAGCATCAGCACCAGCATCAGCATCAGCATCAGCACCTGCATCTGCATCAGCATCAGCGTCATCATCATCAATAGCAGCAGCAACAGCATCATCATCACAACGAGCATCATCATATGCATCATCATCATCGTGAACAACACCACCACCATCATCAACAATATCATCATCATCACCATCACCATCAACATCACCATCATCATCACCATCATCATCAACACCACGACCATCATCACCATCACCATCATCACCATCGCCGTCACCGTCGTCGTCATCATCATCACCACCGTCGTCATCAACATCTCCACCTTCATCATAATCATCATCATCATCATCACCATCGTCATCATTATCATCATCTTCGCCATCATCATCATCATCATCAACACCAACATAATCATCAACATCATCATCACCACCATCACCATCATCGTCATCATCTTCATCTTCATCTTCATCTTCATCTTCATCTTCATCTTCATCTTCATCTTCATCTTCATCTTCATCTTCATCCTCATCTTCATCTTCATCTTCATCTCCATCTTCATCTCCATCTTCGTCTTCGTCTTCGTCTTCATCTTCATCTTCATCTTCATCTTCATCTTCATCTTCATCTTCATCCTCATCTTCATCTTCATCTTCATCTTCATCTTCATCTTCATCTTCATCTTCATCTTCATCTTCATCATTCATCTTCATCTTCATCTTCATCTTCATCTTCATCATCATCATCCACACGTTTCGTGGCCCCTATAGGGGGCTACACCTAAGGCTCCAGTGGCTGCGCCCGCATGCCGCCAACCCCCTCATTCTGGTACACCTCTCACGCGTTTCGTGGCCCCACAGAGAGCTCCACGTAAGGTTCCAGTGGCTGCGCCTGCATGCCGCCCACTTATGCACACCCAGTACACGGAGCTTCACCTAAGGCCCTAGTGATGGCGCCCGCACGCCGCCACCGCTTCACTTTGGCACCCCCCTCACACGTATCGTGGTCCCACAGGGAGCGCCACCTAAGGCCCCAGTGGCTGCGTTCGCATGCCCCCCCTCACTTTGGCACAGCTCTCACACGTTTCGTGGCCCCATAGGAAGCTCCACCCGAGGACTGAATGGCTGCGCCCGCATGCCGCCACCCCATCACTTTGGCGCACCCCTCACACGTTTCGTGGTCCCACTGGGAGCTCCACCTAAGGCCCCAGTGGCTGCGCCCGCATGCCGCCTCCTTCGATTTTGGCACCTTTCGTGGCCCCTATAGGGAGCTCCACCTAAGGCTGAGTGTCTGCGCCCGCATGCCGCCACCCTTTCATTTTTGCACACCCCTTGCACGTTTCGTGGCCCCGTAAAGGAGCTCCACCTCAGGTCCTCCCCCCTCACTTTGGCACACCACTTACACGTTTCGTGGCCCCATGAGGAGCTCCACCTAAGGCCTCAGTGGCTGCGTTCGCATGTCGCCACCTCTCTCACTCTGGCACACCCTCACACGTTTCGTGCCCCCCATAGGGAGCTCCACCTCAGGCCCCAGTGGCTGCGTTCGCATGCCGCTGCCACCCCACTTTGGCGCACCCCTCACACGTTTCGTGGCCCCAGAGGGAGCTCAACCTAAGGCCCCAGTGGCTGCGTTCGCATGCCGCCGCCACCCCACTTTGGCGCACCCCTCACACGTTTTGTGACCCCACAGGGTGCTCCACCTCAGGCCCCAGTGGCTGCGCCCGCATGCCGCTGCCACCCCATTTTGGTGCACCCCTCTAACGCTTCGTGGCCCCATAGGGAGCTCCACCTCAGGCCCCAGTGGCTGCGTTCGCATGCCGCCGCCACCCCACTTTGGGGCATTCCTCACCCGCTTCGTGGCCTCATATGGAGCTTCCGCCGACGGCCCCAGTGGCTGCTCCCGCATGCCTCCTCCTGACCATGTCGGCACACCTCTCGAAGGTTTCGTGGCCCCATAGAGAGCTCCCATGACTGCCCCGGTGGCAGGACTTGCATGCGTGACCGCGCCCGTGTCGGCATACCCTTCGCACGTATCCGCCTGGGGAGCTCCACCGAGGGCCCCAGTGGCTGCGGTCGCATGCCTTCTCCAGACCATGTCGGCACACCCCTCACACGTTTCGTGGCCCCATGAGGGAGCTCCGCCGAAGGCCAGTGGCGGGAATCACTTTGGTGACCGCGCCTATTTCGGCACACCCCTCGCACTTTTCGCGGCCCCCTAGGGAGCTCCAGCGAATGCTCCATGGGCAGGAATCACATTCGTGACCGTGCGCATTGTGGCACACCCCTCGAACGTTTCGTGGCCCTATATGACCTCCACCGAAGGCACCACCGCCAGCTGCTCCCCAGACCGCGCACTGCTGCTCCCCAGGGCCGGGCCGACAGACGTTCAGATCAACCGTGACGGATTACATCCAGATGTAACCCGTTGCGGCTGACCCCTGCGACCCCATCAGCAACGTCGCTCCGTCCTTCTCACGCACGGCTTAGTCCTTTCATTAGCCCCCTTCCTTAGTTTCCACCTGTCTTGCGTCACTCGCAGTTGCATATGGTTGGGCTCGCAAGGCTAGTTGTTTTTTCTCCCGCGCCTGATCTTGCTCTCCTGGTTGTGTCTTGCCCTCCATTTTTCCCGCAGCTCTGCCCGCTCCTGCCTCCTCTCATCCTTCCCCCCGCTTCTCTGCCTCTCTCATTTCCTTTCCCTGCTGCATGTACCTCTCCTCCCCTCTCACACCTGCCTCTCTCTCCCCCCTCTTGCGCTGACCGCCATCGGGGGCGTCGTGGGGGCGCTGGGAGGAGGCACTGGGGGACGATTCAGGAGTGCCGGGAGGGAGTGCTCTGAGAGTCGTGGGGGTCCGCCCAAGGTTCCATCTGGAGGGCTGCACGAACGGCGTGGACTGTCCGCCCCTCAGGTGGTCACACAGTGTCGATGTGCTTTTGTGGTGCCCGGTGTCTGGTGCCTCCTGTCCGTGTCGATGTCGCGGGTTACGGAGGGCACGCGGTCCTGCCTTTCCAGCAGTGGGTCCTCGAGCCTGGCGTGGATGGCCGCGGTGCGGATGCGACGTCCCTGGTCAGCGTGGGCGCGGCCCTTCTTCCAGATGTCGCAGGCCTAGAGGACACCAATATCGGCGGTGCTCCTCCACCGAGGAAAGAAGATCCCGATCTCGGTGATGGTGGTAATATTCTGGCTTCAAGGTGACCGAACTATTACCACCCACACCGAAAGCTAGGATCACCTCTCCCCTGTGGAGGCAGCCCCCTGTCTTGGTGTTGGTGCCTATTTCCAGGCCTCCAAAGATGGAAGCTCTCTCGAGCGCCAGGCCTGCAGGTCGGGCGGCGCCGTCGCCCCTGTCGGGGCCGGACCCGGTCCAGAAGGCTGCGGGCGGAGGGCAGAGGGCGCCAGCACACGAGCCGGGAGGCTCCGCGGTGGGGGCACCGGAGTCGAAGAAACACAAACGACATGCAGTGTCATGCCGTTTTTGCTTCTTCGATTCGCGCGGATTTCTTGGCGCTCCGCGCGGATTTCTTGGATCCGCGCTGGGACACCCCTAGCGGCGCCTCCGGCGCTGTCCCTGGCGCGCTCCGCGCGCCAGGGAGGGGGGCCATAACGTGGATCCAGGAACTCCGCGCGGATCGCCACCAGTTTCTGTTGATGGCGTTTTTTCTTCCTCAAGAGCGAGGAGGCTCCGCGGTGGGGGCGCTGGAAACTGGCTTTGCTCCCCCGAGGGCCACGGCACATTCCTCGGCTCTTCCAGCGGGCAACGACAACAACGATAACAACGATCGACAACGATCGACAGCGATCACGATAACAACAATAACAACGATCAATGCTTTTCTCCTGCTGTACTCGGTGAGGGTACGTGACACGGACTGAAAACAAGGCTCGCCGAGGACTTTGCCGACCCTCGGCGTGAACTCGCTGGCCAAGCTTGCTGGCTGTAGGCTCTGTCCTCCCGGGGGCCACGGCGCATTCCTCGGTCGGTGCTTCCAGCGGGCGGCAGGCGAGCCGACGGCACGGTCCGAGGCGGCGCCCTTCCCCTCGAGGTGTCCTGCGCCTCGAGGGGGGGCGGTGACCTCCGGGGGGTCCCGTCGCCCCGTCGCGCCCAGCCTGCGGGAGAGCGCCGCGCGTCGCGTGCCCCTCGAGGCGAGGTGCACGGCCCGCGAGGACCCCTTGGATGCCCTGGTGCCCTGCTCTGGGGCCCTGCGCGATGCGGCAGGTGCTGCGCACCCATTCGGAGGAGGGGCAGATGCCGATGCCACTCCCCCACCCTCCCCACTTCAGTACCAACTCACGGGGGCGTTGTGTACCCTCGTGATTCTGTCTTTGGCGACGATTGGCGTCTGGGAGTCGACGGGAAAGCGCCGACTTAGCGTCGGTGAGCGTCGATTAGCGACGATTTAGCGTTGATTCAGCGTCGATTAGCGTCGACGAGCGTCGATTAGCGTCGATTCGCAAGAGCTGGCAAAGTGGTCTGGGAGGCTCCCACGAGTTTCCACCGAACTCCCCACCTCCCCGCTCTCGCCTTTCTGGGCCTCCCGGGCGGCCCTCGCCCAGAGGTGTGAGAGCGGGGACGCCACCGCAGTGCTCCCCCGAAGATCTGGCGTCGACGCGTGCAGCACTGCGCAGATGGCGCCGCCGCCGACGCGCGGTGGGGCGCGCGGCACTCTGCTCTCTTCTGCCGTTCTGCGCCCCAGACGGCGCCACGACCTGGGGCACCGGCGGGGGCGCGAAGAGCATCGTGCACCGTGCTTCGCTGTCTGTCAGGGGGGGGGAAAAACACGCAGACACGATTCATCGTCGATCCCAAGGAAAATATGGAAAAATATTGGAAGTGGGGGGGGAAGACAAAAACCCAGAAAATATAGGGAAAATATGGGGAATCCTGTTATCTGTGTGTATTTATTTGTGTGTGCCAGGGCCCCTTCAGTCTGGGCCCAGGACAGTTGTCCCTGTGCACGGGGGAGAGGGGCGCGAGAGTGCCGACGCAGGCTTGGTTGTGGCCCCGTGCGGTGCGAAGACGGAGCTCCGGTGACCCGGTGGGGAACAAAGAGCACAGCACAGCGTCGTCGGCTCCGAAGCACGGCCCGCGACGACGAGTGTGGGGCAGGTGCCGGCACGGGCACGGCTCGGGTAGGGGAGCGAGGGCCCGCAAGCAGGTTTCGTGGGCGCCGAATTCATGGGGGCGTGACGCTTCGCTCGCGTGTGTCTGCCCAGCGTGTTTGCGTGCTCCGCTCGGCACTGCCGACGCCGATAGCGCGCGGCCTGTGTCGTGTCTCATCGCACCGCCAGCGTCGTATCGAAGGGCCTGGGTGGACGAGCACACGTCGGCGCTATCCGTATCCACGGCCTCGCGGGCGGGGCCCCTGGGCCACGACCCCATGGACACGTTGCGTTTTTTGCGTATGCGGCGCGCGGAGCGTATCCATGAGGCCCCGTATCCACGGGATCGCGCCCCTCAATCCATACTGTGAGAGTGTGGACATGGATACATTCGCCGCTCGTGGATCGAACTGCTCGCACACCGCGCGCCACTCCAGCGGGGGCGCTGCGAGCCCCTTT